CATCCCCTTCCCCTTCCCCATCCCCTCCCACTCCCCATCCCCTCCTCCCCCAAAAAAAGCCCCTGTCCTCCTAACCACCTCCCCACCCGTTAGCCCCGCCCCGCCCCCCCGGGTGTAACGGTCGCGGCGCGCGAGGGCCAGTGTGAACTTGAGCTCGCGCTCTCTCCCCATCCGCCCCGCCCCTCGGCTCCATAGCGATCCCGCTGGTCAGATGCCAGTACTGCACCCGCTGCACCCATGCTCTATAGCGCTCCCCACTGGCCTGAGAGCGGTACCGCTCCCTCCCCTTCCCCCATTCACGCCAGCAGAAGAAACAACCGAGTACCTCCTCCCCAAACTCCCAGTCACATAAAAAGGTGGGGGGGAGGCTGCCTGGATTTTCCCATTTCGATCGAATGGAATCACTTCTCGAATGCTTTACTCGTTTTAGTTCCGATCCCTGGAGCTCGACGGCCGGATCAGGCGCGCCATTGGGCCGCCCGTCGCTTGGGATGTTGAGGAGGGGGGGGTGGAGAGACGGCGAGGGGTCCTCTTTGCGGGGCAGAACGGCGGGCGCAACGGAGGAAGGAGAGGCCCGGCTGCGGGGCAGTGGAGCAAAATGGCCGCCTGAGCTGGTAGCATGGGAAGCTATGGCATCAGGGGATGGGACCACTTGGGAGGTTGGGCACAGAGACGGAGGGGTGACGAGGGAGATGGGGTTGTATTGATTACGCTTCTTAAAGAAAAAGGGGGAGAAAGCCATCTAGCCAGCAGATGTAGGAGGTGGAGTGCAAGAATTGGGTTTGGGGGGGTTTGCCCAACTTGACCGGGGTGGTCAACATGGGCAATTGGGATGAGTCTCCTTTTCCTTGGGCCACAGGAGGCAATGGGTGGCTGGATGGAGGGACGGGTTGCGAGGGGAACGGGGAAGCCCACCCATTTCGTTCGGGCTTGTGGAGGGGCTGGGTGTGCAGTTGCCGAACAGCCTGTGTGGTCCTGCACGTGGCAAGGGAGGGTCAAATGGTTGTTTTGCGGGTACAGCAGCCTTCCTGAGAAGTCGTGGAGGGGGTTGGTAGGGATGGGGGGGGGGGGGGGGCGTGGGGCTGCCCTATCTTGTGGGGGTATTCAAACGTTAAAG